TCCTTTGGTGACTGCCAGCCCCGAGGCCTCCAACACCATTAACAGGAGTGGGCAGTCAGGTGTAGCCATGCACACCTGTCATCCCTTGGGAAGGCTGAGGCAGGAGGATGGCAAGTCTGAGCATAGCCTAGGCAACTCAGAAGCATACTGAGATGTCTCAAAACTAAAAGTTGTTTTAAAGGGCTGGGATGTAGCTCGGTGTGAAGGCCCTGGGTTCAATCCCCAGGACCACCAAAAAGATGGGGGGAGCATTCTGATTCCCTGTGGGACAGGAGGAGATCCCCAATCCTACATTTTGCATTCCTTTGTGCTCCATCTTCTCAGCTCTTCAATGGGAGCAGACATTTGGCTTCACGCCACAGGCTGCTGGGTAAAATAGTACAACACTACAAGATCCCTTCCAAGAATACGGGTATTGTGTAGTGTGCAATAATTTCAACGGTTTTCAGTATTTTTCCTACTTGCTTAGGAAGAAACAATTTACCAAAATTTGAGAACTTGCGATAGTTCATTATAATAATTAAACTGCTTTGCCATGGGCTCTGGGCAGCCGTGGTAGGTGTACACCGAGCAAGGGTAAACCGAAGTGCGCGCTGATCCCGCAAAGCGACAGGCTTGTTTTCCGAGGTATAATAACATGGGTGCAACACAGAGCAGAGCTCAGCTCTGAAATGATGAAATAGCAATTCCTATCCTTCATCAGCCCAGCAATTTTTATTTCATGCTGGATAGCTGTTAAAATCAAAGCCTGTCATGGTCCAGGAATGTTTAATTCGTCTTCTATGTGTATTGTTATTTTTACACGTTTGATTATTTTCTTAATCTACTTTCCAGGCTTACTTATTTTATCAGCTGAAAAGCTGGAGACTATCCTCATGACTAAATACTTTGCTGTTTATTATTTTACTTATTTTTTTTAGCCAAACCCTATGATAACATTCTAATTTGATAATGTTCCATTTAACACATTAATGGGAGACAGAAAAATACAACCATTAAGGAATGTTTTAGTAATTTTGAGTAAAATGCATCACAGAGCATGAATACATTTTATTTAGCTTTTTGGAGCTTCAGTGTGCCTGTATCAAGTGATTTATATTCCTACACCGTAGGTACAGCTATGTACAGATTTTGAGCAGCATAAATTAAAGAAAATGTCGTATGGATAATGTTCTAGAGTGGCAGTGTGAAAGCAACAGTTTGTTTTATCATCAGCTAACTTGCCTTTATTTCTCTATAAAGGCAGAGTAGAAATAATGTGAATACATTACAGTGATATCTTCATAAGAAGCTATGAACAGCAAAAAACCTTCACAACGCTGAAAAATAAGTGTTCAGAGCTTGGGTTTTAAATACATTTCATCTGCAAATGAAACTAATTTGCATGCCACTTCCTACTTTTAGGATAGAGCTAGTAACCAACCTGGATATAATAAACTTCCACCCAAAACAGGGAATTCAAGTGTTAAAACTTAGATTATTATCTTGTTTATGGTAAACATTGCAATAAAAAAGGAGAAAGAGATGCAAGCTACATATTTGCCAGTGATATGTATCCATTTGGCAAAATATTACTGGGAAGACACCTTTAACAGGAATTTTTATATTTTAACTACTGTAAAACCAAAATTTCTTTTGTAAATTTGGTAGATGAAAAACACAGATCCTTAATCCTTCAATGTAACTTCGAGGAAGTAGTTATGGACGCACTGAGCCCCTGCATTGGTATCTGAAGATAAATACTGAGCAGAAACTAGAAAACAATGTTAGGTAATATTTACATAATAAGTCTAAAATAACCATATGAACAAATGTCTTGAATTAAAGAAGCAAAAGTTTAAAACTAGATGTTTCAGTGCATTAGAAAACTTACATCCTTCTATCCCAGATGTGATCTTCCCAAACAAGTTTATTCAGAACAATTAGAAAACAAATCCTGATGAGCCACATATAAACACATATATCTTTTAAATTTAGTAAAAATATATTTCTCATGTGGTATCATGAAATAGTTTCCCTCCATTGCAAAAACAAGGTGAGCAGAACTTCAGGAAATATTACTGTTTAGCTGGACGCAGAGGCAGAGGCCTGTAATCCCAGCACTCTGGGAGGCTGAGGCATAAAGACAGCAATTTCAAGCCCAGCCTGGACAATACAGTGACTTAGCAAGAGCCTGTTTCAAAATAAAGTAACTTTAAAAGGCTGGAGATGCATCTCATTGCGGGGGCCCTGGGTTCAATCCCCAATGCCACAAAGAAACTATTGTTCTGTGTAATATCGAGAGTTATCACAACATCGCTTTTCTTGCTAGTTTGTTCAAAGTATTAAAACATACTGGAAAAGGCAAAACCATGGACACAGCAAAAAAAAAAAAAAAATGTCAGTGATAGCCAGAGACGACAGAGGGGCAAAGCATCAGAGTGCAGAGAAGCCCTCTCTGTCGTCACTGTGATCGTGGAAGCCCATCGTTATAGATTTGGCAAAGCCCATAGCTTGCACACCAACCCCAGAGTGACCCCACCGTCCACCCCAGGCTCTGGTAACCATGCGTGTCCCGGGGCTCCCCCATTGCGGTGCTGTTCCCTCCGTGGCTGAGGCTGTAACGAGGAGGCTGTGTGTGTGTGATGGCAGAAAGTACCCGAAATCTCCATGCCTTTTACTCAGTTTTATCACGAACCCAAAACTGCTCTAAAAATAAAGACAAAATGTTGAAACTTTAAAAGAATAGTATGTTTCCTAAATAAATTAAAACCTTTATATAAAAACAATTTCATCTGTAGTTCTATTTTCTAAAGGATGTGAATGAAAATAGCAGTCTGATGAGGAACAGCTGGAAATGTGTTTTCCTCCTGTCTTTCTTGACTGAACGTTTCTAGAAAGTTCTCTTTGCTAAAAGCCATATATCTTGAAATACTGAAATTTCTGAGTCTCAATGTTCTGCTCTCCTATCTGCCTTCTAGGCGGCTTTCTCCCCTGCTGAAGGGTTTGACTCTATCCACACTTGACCTGTACAATTTCCTTCTTTACCTGTTTATTTGTTTTACTTTCCCCCCACTGTTTCCCCCACCCCTGCCACCTACATTCAGGTGAGAGAGAGGGTGAGATGAATCTTTACAGCACACAGTGAAACTAGTCTGGATTTATGCTGATGGTGGACACGTGTCATTACACCATCATTCACTACCTACATTCCTAAAAGATGCTAAGCAAAGAGAAGGCAGGATTGACCTGTGCCTGGTACCCACTGAGACAGTATTTGTGGAGGAAGAAAGGGAAAAAAGGAAGGAAGGAAGGAAGGAAGGAAGGAAGGAAGGAAGGAAGGAAGGAAGGAAGGAAGAGAGGGATGGACGGAGGGAGGGAGGAGCAATGTCTTATCTATTTGTATCCAGCCACCAACAGTTATTCTTTCATGCTGGTCACAGGCAAGATTAGAAAATAAGCAACAGTGAGCTTTCTATCTTTCCAGAGATTCTCTGGTTTTCCTTGGCTTGTGGATGCATCCCTCCAACCGCTGCCTCTGTTGTCACCGGGCTTTCTTCCTGCATCCTTGTCTTTACTCGTCATCCGGCTCTTATTAGAAGGGACACCAGTCATATTGGATTAGGATTCATCTTAATAATCTCATCTTGACTTGGAGACATCTGCAAAGAGCCTATTAGGGTTTAGATCTAAAATGTTCTCAAAGCTCTCCTGTGTTCAGGGGTCAAGCTTGCAGAAGGTGATTGGATCGTGGGATGCCATTCTCATCAGTTAATTCATCCATGGATGACTTCAGAACTGAATGTGCTGTTAGGAGGTGGAGCCTGGTTGGAGAAGGTCACTGGGGGTGTGACGTGGAAGGGTGTGTTCTTGTCCTTGGCTCTTTCTTTCTCTCTTCTTGGCTACCATGAGGTGAGAGGCTGTCTACCCTGGACCCTTTTGCCATGCTGTTTTTGCCTTGGAGCTAGCTGACCATGGACTGAACCCTCTGCAGTTGTGAGTCAAGATAAACTTTTCCTTCTTTAAGTTGTAGGAGGCAGATGTCTTGTACCGCCAATAGGAAAGTGACTAATACACACCCTCTTTCCATGTGATGTCACAGTTCCCAAGTACCAAGGGTCAAGGCATGGACCTATCTTACTGGTGGACACAATTCAGCTCAGAGTATAGGTTTCTCTTGCTGAAAGCACCTATGCTCCAGAACTTTCCCAACCATAATGACTATAGCTCTGACCATGGCAGCAGTGGCAACAAACACAAAGGAAATAAGGCAACAAAAGCCCTGATGATGTTCTTTTTTTCCAGAAGTCTTCAATCCAAATGAATTTGTTATAAATAATGAGAAAAGGAAATAAATCTCTACCTCTTCCCTTTATTAAATCCAGCAAATTGCACTTCTTGGATAAATTTGTAAGTTTTAAATTTTCTATCTTCAGTTACTTGTTGCAGATGACATAATTAATAAAATTTTAGGAAATTAATGTTTGGACCCAATGGTGTGAAATCTTGTGGTGACATAACAGGCCTGTAGCAAGAAGCCAGGAAGTATTCAGGGTAGATATCTGGCTTTTGCCAATTGTCACCATCATCTAACCCCTTGGGATGGAGGACAGCTTTGGAAGCTGGCACTAGCCACTGGCATCCAGGTAGAACTATATACCAATTCCTCACTCACAGGACTCACGAGCCCAAGGTTCACAAGCCAGTCCAGGTTAAGGGTAAGATGGTTTCAGGTATGCTTGACATATTGACTTCAGGTTGGGATCTCCACATAGCCTTCCATTCAAAACACAGATACTCACTTCTTATAGCTCTGTGGGTGTAGTTGTTTACAAATTGAGAACACGATAGGAAAAAGAGCCCATGAGGTTAAAGACGTCATCTACCCCCCTTTCCACCTCACAGACATGGCACATCTTGTAGATGCCAATGTCACAATGCCACAGCCTGGGAAAACGCATCTGACGTCAGCTGGCTTTTCAACTGATGAACAAGGAAACTGAGGGAGAAAACATTCTCTGTTCCTTTAAAAAAAAGTGTAAAGAAAACTTAGCCAGATTTTAAAAAAGTCTGCGGAACTAAAACACCGCATGCATCATAATTATCTCCAAGGAGGCTCTTTAAGCCTCCATCCCAGAGAGCCCTGGGGCTGGGCAGACACAGGGGGTGTGGGGAAGACACTCCCTGGCTGTCAGTAAGCTGTGATTAAGTCAGATGAAAGAGGAATGCCGCCCACGTTGGATTTCGGATTCTGGAATTCTGTGCCGCTGTGGGGTGCTTGATACAAGGGAGTCCAGGAATTGTGCGATGATTGCATACCTTTGAGGTGAGCTCAAAAACAGGGTGAATGCTTAAAATAAAAACTGTATCACTGTAAAAGACACAGTACCACGAATTCCACTCAACATTCTCCCCTTGATTTCACAAAACTTATTTCATCATTCTTACCCTCTTCGTTTTTTTAATTTTAAAACTTTTTTATTAGTACATGTTTGCAGATCGTAGTGATTACATTTGTAGTGCAGAACCAGTACATGTACATATCACAACTTAATTTTTATTCTTGGTCCCTTTTCCATTCCTCCCCCCAAAAAAATCTTTCATCTGTTTCTGATTATCTATCTCTTATTTTGCACTTTCTGCAGCAGTTTCTGGGAGCCTACTTTCCTGAGGGCCGTTAGCTGCCCTGCCACAGCTGCCTTGATGCCCTGAACCCACTCAAAATATTCACAAAACTCTCTATCCATGAAAACCTGACAGTGTGTCCTCGTCCGCCTTATTCACTGGGTCTAGCAAGGTAGAACTTCTAACCCTTCCCCTAGGTCAAACTGACCGTACAGGGTAAACGTTTTAATAGTTCAGGACACCAAGGCAGCCAGCACAGCACCGCCGAAAGCACTGTAAAAAATAGGACTTGCAGAACTGCTTAGAGAGACCAGCAGTTGGGACCCAACAGTAGAATTCAGCAGCAGGAGCCAGGGTGCAGCTCGGTGGAGAGCGCTAACTTAGTGTGTGCCCAGCCCCAGGTTCAGTCTCAGCCCTTAAAAAAAATTATTGAAGGAGAGAGAAAGACAATGAAGTAGGACTTCCTAAAACCAAGGACAGATGCTGTACCCAGGAAAGGAGAGCGGGAGACATTGTCAGGGGATCCTGACAATTTACTATGAGGGACAAGTAGCTGGAACCACGGGGCTTAGCATGGAGATTAGAAAATGTTTATGGGCTTGGATTTGAAGGGGAATAAAGAAAAGGGCATAATTATAGGAGACCAAAAGAAAAACAGGGGGTCAGAAACGTCCCAAGCAGAAGATCTGGGGAGACTTTCTGCAAACAGTGGTGTCTTAAAAAGGTGAAAAGCTACCAAAATTTTCATGACATTTTAGTTACCACAGGCTTTAGCCTCTAACCAGTGGGGATGCTAAGAAGAACATGTGGTGTGGGGTTTTAATTAAATCACCATGGCTACCAGAAACGGGGGAAGGTTAAAGATTCTGTTTCATAAGTAGTCAAGACAAGAGGACTGACAAGACCTAAAGCATACAGACATGGACACATACTTTAGAAAGTATAACAATGATCGCATGTTTGTACAAATGTAGGAGAAAAGGAGAGAAAGACAATCAGTTTGTAAAAGGACCACAGAGAATTCAGAATGGAGGTGAGATCTGTTTGTTTCTTCTGGCTTTTTTTCTGTGCAGAGGAGGCTGACACTGATACACCAAGGTGGGTTCCTCTTGTAGACTTGGAGGAGCCTGGGCAACAGTTGGTTTCAGACACCCAGGGCTACTTAGGGCCGTTGCTTAGGGACGTTGCAGTGAGTCTGAAGCTCTGCACAGACTTGGCTGAAGTCACCAGCTTGAACGCGATACTCAGTTCCCTAGAGTCGATGGCATCGTCTTGAGAAGCCAAGCAACTGAGGGCAGGGCCTCCACGATCCACAGCGAGTTTCCAAAGCCCCTAAAATGCAGCACGTGTTGAGTAGAAAGTGTGGTTAATGCAGACAGGTTTGCTGGTTGCTAGAGAAGGGGAAAATATGGAAAAGTGATTTGGAGTGCACCAACAGCTCACATTTCACACCCCTCTATAGCTAGCCAACTCGTGCAGGAGGCGCTTTTGTACTATTCCACTGCCCCGCCATCTCTTGCTGTGAGTCTTAGGTTACTACCTGCGGGAGTTTCAATGTAATGTCAAAGCCAATGGTTTGCTAAGCGGCTATAATGGGTTGATGAGTTGCTAAGAGGCATCTATTAGGTGAAGGAAAGTGGCTCATCTGGTGACATATTTACCTTGTACTACAAAACTAAGTGCAGTCAAAGATTTGAAAGCCAAAATTCAGAGATTTACCAAAGGCACGGTGTTACTGATGAACCTCAGCATAGAAGAGGGATTTGGATTTTTATTAAAGCAGTTACTGGTACATAAGCCCTCATTCTTATCCCCTGAATCCCTAAGGGTACCCATGACAACAGACCAGGGAAGCTTCCTTTGTCCAAGGCATGCGGTGTTTTCTTGGCCCTACTTCCAGAGCCTTGGAGTTTGTGCTTGTGGGGAAGGGGAGGCAAGTGGTATAATTTGTAAGTTTGGAAGTGTGATGGGCCAAAAAGAATGAAATCATGTCTTCACTTGGGCCATGGACAAACATATCTGACAACTCTTGATGTATGCCACTTCTCTGTCAAGGTAGCTTGGGATTCGGGCATTCACTGCATGCAATTTGAGAATGAAATGCTGGTGATGCTAAGTGAGAAGAGCACTTGCTTGGCCTGACCACGGGTGGCAGCTCAAGTTTCTGCAGTAGAAGAGAAGGCGGCTGATGCATCCTGCATAATGTACCTGAGCGAGTTTACTGATGATACCCAGATGAGCAGCTGGAATCATGGAAGAAATGCGGCCATCACTTCAAAAGCACTCCAGGTAGAAGAGGCAATTGTAGGAGAAATCCTATTACAAAAACATATGGAACAGCTGCAAATGTAACGTTTTGCTTTATTCCTTGGAACAAAACCACAAGAAAGTTCAAAAAATAACACGCACTTCTAAAGCTACCACTTAAAATCAAGAAATGCCAATACTTTATACTTTGTCAATTGATCAATAAAAATTAGACATTTTTGAGGGAGAGAACTGTCCCTTTCTTTTTCTGTCTTATACTCAAGCGATGCCACTGTAGGAATTTGATGGATGAATTTCCTGACCATGTTACACACATACACACACAAATTATAGATTGTTGCTTCTTAAAATGTGCTCATATACAGAATTTCACTGAACTATGTCGTTCTACATCTTGCTGTGTGGGCTTCAGGGGTACGATTTTGATACCTATTCGTGGGGATCCGCACTCATCTTATGCATTGCAATTATCATGTACTCATTTCCACTGCATTGTATGAAAGTACATCTAGCTCTCACAACTTAATTGCTGTAAATTCATTTTAATTCCACAATGGTAATGCATTGTATTTCCATCCATTCATCGTGCCACAGTGAATACCTTTGTTCCCTTCCTGCTGCACATTGGCATGAATTTCTTTAGGATCTATGCCTCCAAATAGAATTGCCCATCTGGAATATAACAGCAATTGTCAATTTGCTTCCTAAAGATAGCGGACCAATCTATAATTCCAACAAAATCCATCAGTAATTTTTGGAGATGCCCAACAAAAAGAGTTGGCTGTCCAGTTGGCCACAACTCAGGATTACCTGACAGTTTGGGCCAGCAATTCTATGAATGATGGATCAGCACAAGGGGAAAGCTCACAAAGCACCCAGGACCTGCGGGTGATTGCAATAGTACAGTACTGGCCCAATATTCCAGTGACCTTCTCTGAAAAGCCCTCTTACTGCACCATCACTGAGGTGCCTCTCGGCCCTGGGCTCTCTTTAGCAGTGGAATGTGAGTAAAAAGTGATGTCATTTGGAAGTAGGGGTGTCAAGAGACCAGCCCATGACGCACCATGTTTGTTAGCTCTGCCCAGCGATTTCCCGGGAAGGGGGCATTTTAGCACCAGTCTCAGAGTGGACGCAACAGGGTGCAGATTCTATCAACCCGAAAAAGACATAAAAGAGGAGCCAAATGTAAACTGCTGTTGCTGGAACGTGTTTAAATGAGCTGATTGCTTGTTATTGCAGCATAACCTTGCTTATCCTAACTGACGTGGATATTTTCAGGATGAAGAGAAGCAGTGATGGGAACAACGGTAGTGAAATTGAATCATGGAATGAATAAGTAAATAAACAACTTTGTGCGTGAAGGGGAAATATTTCTGGACTTTTCTGCTAGCTGTGTGAGGTCAATACTGAAATGCTATGTTTTATTAGTGCCATCTTCTTTGATCAGAAGTTCAGACCTTCTACAATTTTCTGTAATCACCATATACAACAAGTGAAAGCAGAAATAACTCCAACCTCCCAAATTAAGAGGAAAATAAGAATAATATGCCTACGAGGAAAGCTTCTTAAAATTCCTTGCCTTAAATCCCAACATTTCAGATCTACAGAGTTGTTTATTCTCTCACCTCTGAATCTCACAACATATTTTATTATGTCCATTTTGAGGCATTAAAAAAAGTAGGACAGGATATTTTACGACTTGGTATTTCATTTGCTGTCACTTAAAAAATGATCCAGACATCTGGAGGGCTTTCAAAATGTGTAGATCTCCAGTCTTGAATCAATATTTCTCTGGGTATTAAGTCTAGAAAGTGAGTATGCATGCTATGATATGTGGCAAGGCTTAGGTGCTTACGACTGTTTGTGTCTGTAGATACAATATTTTTACAGTATGTTTTTCAAAAAGAATAATCTTCTTGCAACACTATGTCATTCTTATTTTTAACTTTTAGCTTTATGATGTGTTATATACATGTACCAACTCCTCAGGATGAATGTAATCATTATTACTGCAAACATATACTAACAATAAAAAATAGGAAAAACTAATTTTTAGCTTTAAATTATCATTCATTTGTAAAATAATGGGAATAGTAAACAGTAGTAGTGAAGACTTTCTTTTTAGTTTTTGTAAAAAAAAAAAAATCTTTGGTTATATCCTTTAGTGCCATACTTGAACACATAAAGAACCAGAAGTCCAAATAAATAAATAAATAAGATAGTTACGATATACAGGTTGGAGTTATTGAAGAAAATAACCTAATTACAACATAAGAAATTGAAAACATGGAAAAAAATACAGAGACCATTAGTTCAGAATGATGAGTGCAGGCGCTCAGAAGATGAAATCCAAGGGGATGAGAATGAATAGCTCAGTGCTCTCCAGAGCTTAATCAGGAGTCCATTAAGCAATAAATTCTTGTTCAGCTCTCAGAACATGTTAGCAACAGCGTTGTACGAAAGGGAGACTCAAAACATATAAACAGAGCACATGTGACCCCAGACCTGAACGTGCACTTGGGGAAACTGGGCATCAGCACGTGGAGAAGAGCTTCGTGAAACCGACGCCACCTGGGGCAGCGGTGCAGACGGGAGATCTGAAGGAGGAAGGAAGCCCTGGTGGCCAGAGCTCGTATTGTCCTCTTCCAAGGACAGCCAGCCAGCAGGGGCAGGGACCAGACTGCAGACCTGCTTCCCGCACTCTGAAACACAGCTCTCTGAACAGAGACTGCAGACTCGGAGCCCAGGGGCCCATGCAGTCCACAGACCTGTGTTCAGTGTTGTTTTTGTAGCCTGTACCCTTTCATAGACTTAAGGCAATATGTGATGTATTTGCATGGTGAGAGGAAAACCCAAACTTTTCTGGTAAGTGAGCATTCCTCTCCCCGGGCTGTTAGTCCCAATGCTCCAGTAGATAGATGGTGCCTCGCTGTTCTGCCCACCCATTCTCCTAGTCACAGGAGGAGATGGCTCCTTGACTAGCCTGTGAAATACCTAGGAGACAGGGGAACAGACAGCTTTGGGCCTGCCTGCGGATGATTGACAGGTAGGCTGCAAACGGAAGGGGTAGACCCGCACCGGATGTGGGCAACACCAGCCAAGCTCCCAGCTGGATGGAATAAAAAGGGAAAGAAGGGGCTGGGGATTTAGCTCAGTGGCAAAGCGCCTGCCTGGCAAGCGCAAGGTCATGAGTTCAGTTCCTGGTACCGGAGAAAAACAAAAAAAAAAAAAAAAAAAAAAAAAAAAAAAAAGGGAAAGAAGAAGGAAGTCTTTGGAGGAGCTCCAGTCTTGACGTTGTCTTGGGACTTTGGTCTCCAGTACCATCAGCATTCCAACACACATTACCCCGACTCCACAGGCAGCCGTTGTCAGCCCAGTCAGTAAATCCTTTTTCTATCATGTGTACAATTAGAAGCAAACTATCAACGTGCAAAATGGCCTGGTGTGGCTGCTCTAAGAAGCTCCCCAATCAAACAAACGAGAGTCCACACACAAAAAATGCTCCCTGGATGTCTAACATTGCAAGGACTCAGCCCCCAACTACCCAGGGTCACTGACCCTGTGCTTGGGTCCACACCTTCTTTCCCTCCCTCCTCTGCTACCGCTTTCCCGGTCTCTGTTTATACCTTCCCTTGTCATTCCAGTGTGACACAGGGCCTGCCATCTCTTAGATGTGACCTGACCTTCCCTGCTGCCTCTGGCACTCATCGCTCTCCTGAGCTTTGATAAAGCAAATGCCCTTCCTGTCAGCACCTATCTCTGTCCCTGGCCCCTGGGACCCGACCCTGTCCACAGCTCAGAGTGGGCGCTCTTTGGGCAGGACTTCCTGCAGTCCACGATGTCACTGAAGCTTCATTTCCATCAGTGCATTACTACACATTTAGTTATTTTACTTATTGATTTAGTCCTATTTCCAATTACTTTCAGAAACAAATATTCAGAGGAAATACAGATCTAATAAAATGAATAAAGCCAATAAAAAATACTCAACTAATGAAGAAACTAGAAAAAAATTGTACCAAGAAAAAAGAGAAGAAAAATAAAGTAGGGTTAGACCATAGTCATTTCAAAAGTGCTTTTAACAATCCTGATTTCACAACAGCTACTGCAAAACCACACACAGAAAGCATAGACTTACCATGAGCTATTACAAATTACATGACTTAATTCTGAAACAAATGGATATTGATCCACTTCGAGAAAAATTCTGCTACTAAACACTAATAAAAATGGTTAATAGGGGCTGGGGATTTAGCTCAGCGGCAAAAAGCGCCTGCTTGGCAAGCGCAAGGTTGTGAGTTCGGTTCCCGGTACCGGAGAAAAACAAACAAACAAACAAAAAAATGGTTAATAAGCAAATATTCCTTTTTTAACAACAAGAACTACTTCTCTGAGTATTAAAGATAAATAAAACAGACCTTTCCTTCAAAGGGGAATCCTGATTAAATGTAAATGCATCCCTTCGCAGTCTGCAAGTGTTGGCTAGCAGGGTAACTACCGGCTTGTTTGGAATGCGCCATCCCTGGGAATGAACACTAATCCCGACCCTTTCTGTTGTCTCTGATACGATCTAATTTCAGTGAATGCTACCATAACTTGCTAACTTTAATTACCACTTAGCACCTGAAAATTGGTACTTGAAGGCCGCTAAGGAGAGCTTTCTAAGGTTCCTCTCCAGCAACACTATTTTTCTTGACAGGCCCATTGTGTGAAACAGACTCATCATTTCATTACTCCTGGACTTCGAATGGTGGGGGGCGGCGGTTCATTCCAGCACAGCGTGTCGGGGCCTGACAGCTCCTTCACAGCGCTGCTGAAACTCCATTATCTCTGCTCAGCCCTCTGACCTGCCCTTTGCTTGGCCAGCATCTCCCCTCTGCAGGGGATGCTACCTTCAACCCTCCTCCTTTAGGGCCCTTTGAAAGTTGCTCTTTCAGAAGTCAAACAAGAGTTGGAAGACAGCAAGTAATGCACAGAGAAATTCTTCTTTAACTTTCCCCTAAATCACCTGAGTTGCCAATCCCAGTCGCCTTGCTCACCACCACAGTGGAGAGGCAGATGACAGTGGGAGTTGTTTCTGTGACCCAGGAAGCTATCAGAATTGGATCGTAAGTGAAAAAGCCAGGACTTCGGCAGTCTCGGGTACATGTCTCCTGGCTTGGCGACAAAGGCCAGGCCTCCCCTGTCAAAGTGAGGACGGGGTTTTCATGTCCCCGGTGTACCC